ATTTCAAGTCATTTTTTTAGTAATTTTTAAATGTTTGAAGAATCTCACATTTTAAGTCATTTCAAATAAAAAAATATTCTCATATGAAAATTCATTCCAAATTTGATTATCATAGGTTGTGTATCTTATCTCTCTAGCAAAAAAAAAAAAGAAAAAAAAAAGGAGGAAATGTAATAGAAATAAGGATATAACCATAAATCCAATTTCCAAATAAAATCAATGGAACTAATTGGCTTATAAGAAAATCTTTGGGACTAAACAGATTACCATTCCTCAAGACGAGATTTGTAGGTAAATTTTACATTTTTTGGGGGTATAATTACTACCAAAAAATAAATATTACAAAAAAAAAAACAGAGATAGCAAATCATAACCATTATACAATCTGGATGTTTGGGAAGTTACTATTTTAATAGGTTATTTTAGTTTTTTGCTATTTTAGAACATTAAAATTTTTACGTTTGGAGAGATAGTTGGATTTTTTGTAGTTAGATACAATGGTTGTGAGAGAAAAAGTGAAATGACTATGGGTTTGATGTGATACTTTGTCTTATTGACTATTTTAACCTATTTTGTCTGTTAGTACTATTTTAACCCAAAAAAAAAAAAAACTAAAAAACCTTCTTTCCAAACACACCCATTTAATGTGGTTCAAGTTTTTAACCAAAAAAAAAAAAAAACTAAAAAACCTTCTTTCCAAACACACCCATTTAATGTGGTTCAAGTAATCACCTATCTTTCTTTGTTGGAATCTATTATGTTTAAGTCCTGTGATTACACATTATTTATTGCCACAAAAATATAATTGTTGCACAGAGTAAAAGGTTTTTATAAAGTGAGCAGATTCAAGCTCTATCTAACTGATAAATTTCGTAGAAATCATCCAATGTAGCAGACTATTTGACTAGTTTTGCTCAAGATACAACAACTTGGCTATACGCCGTGTTAGTTCAACCTCTCTGTACAAGAGATTAAACCGAAAACTCTATTAACGAAACACTTATAAATTGTCTAAAAATTTGTATGGAAAATATAGCACAAAGGGGCACAAATACAAAAAACGAAAAAGATTATGGTACACACCTCTTAATTGGTGTATATTATATATACTTTATAACTAAAGAAGTAATGACACAATTTCATACTTCTTGAGTCATAATTAAAAAGAAAAAAAAAAATCATGACCAATTATTATATTAGGCATAATCAAAGATCTCATTAATTATAATTAAAATAATATCATAATTAAAAAATAAATAAATTAATTAATCATAAGTAAAAAAAATAACATAATTAAAAATATACATATAATATATCCTTTCAAGGGAGTGTATAGTAAAATTTTCCTAAAAACATATATGGAGCCATAAAAAGAGAGGCTCGATCACCCTAACTTTAGGCTCTCTTCAGCGCACAGTCAACCGACTCACCAAGTCGGTGAAAACAAGAGAACAATTTAGTTTGTTTGCATTTAAAATTCTAATATATAAAGTCAAAGTAGTTGCTGGTGCAGCATGTGTTTAATAATAAAAACTCTCATCACTTGAACCTCCCACATTATATGTGTATTTTTATTTTTCATTATTCGTATAATATTATTTAATTTTGTTAGGTTTTACTAATTGGTAATTTCATTTGATAAAATTTCTTTCAGTTGTAATTTTATTCACTTTTTTGTTTTAGTGAGGTTATGAGTGTTTATGTGCGAATCCAACCCAAATTGTATTTATGTAGATGAATTTGTGATCTTAATCATTTCATGTTTGCTACTTCGCTGACTATGCACTGCCCCCGAAACAAAAAGTAAAAATACAGTTGAAGTTGTTTGACCGCTCGAATGGTCATTTGTATGCTTGAGTGGACAAAAGGATCATCAAGTACTTTTGCAGAGTGCCTGAACTTTATGGAAGAAAGTTTTACTGCTCGAGCGGTCGGCTTATATGTTTCGCACCACCTTTACTCACACCGCTCGAGTGGTCTTCGGCTCTATTTTCTATAAAATGTGTCATTCGCTATTTTTAAAGTCTAAGTTGTCCAACATTTTAGAGAGAAAGAAAAGACAAAATGTTTTCTATTGGAGGTTGTTTTATATGAGTTTCTTTGGTGTATAGAAGGTGATCGATTGATCAACGAATTATAGATTGTCTAATATTATGGGTTCTTCTTATTATTTCATTCACAAAAGAGAGAGGTATTCTTTGGTGGATTTTGGGAAATTTGAGCCTGAAGTTTTGGTAGATTCCAAAGTGGCTTATCGTCGCGGATTTGATATCAACGTTGTGAATTTAATGTTGGGTAAGACAATTATGAGGTGAAGATGGTGGTAGAAGAGACACATCGGGTTTGGTTCAATTCGAGTGTGGATTCGTTAGGTAATTAAGAGTACTTTTGTGTAATTTTTTTTATGTCTTCTTAATAGATTATTTTGTGGCTTTGATCCGTTATTTTTTTTATCACAATTGGAAGCACTCCAATTGTGATTTTTTCATGTTAAATCGTTGCGACGATTTGTCTTAATTATTTGATTGAGAATGTTATTTATTATTTTAAATTGAAATATAATCACGAATTAATACCTCAAAAAATTTTAAATTTGTCAGTCTTCGATGCATGTGCGGACAGCTAGTATTTTATAATTCTAACATGTTTAAAACTCAAACTTTTTTCATTCTATTACTTATTTAGGCCAAGATTGACAACTTGTAAAAAAGTCAAAAAATCAAAAAGTTACTCAAAAAGTTAAAAAGTTAACACTATTCACCAAAAGTCAACAATTACGGTTGCACAACTCCCAATTCGAATTTTTCCCTACAAATCAATTTTTACAATTTTTTATTACACATTTTTCCATAAAAAGGCAAAAAGTTAACCCAAACATCCATATTTTCAATCTCAATTTTTTAGTCCAAAAAGACAAAAAGTATACTTATTTAGGACACCCCAAACTACCCCTTAGTTTGTCTCCATTTGAAACACACAATCTTCTATCATTTTTATTTTCTTATTATTATCCAAATCAAAATAACATAAATATAATCTTACAAAAAATATACCTTTTAATATTAAAGTACCTTGTGCTTAAAATATGCACCAACATTTTGAATGGCTACTAATATTTTCCAATACAAAATTTGAATTTTTATAGTGGCAAACGCACATCAACGGTCTAGATCTTTCACATGTTGATTTTGAGTCGTCTAACATCTTTTTTCTTTAGCTTAGAGTCGGTGTGAATGGAATAAAGAGTAGATTTTATATTATTGAAGGAATATATCCCACCATCCAAGGCATTATTGTCCTTGTTTTTATTTTATTTTATTATTATTTTTTTAGGTTTTAAATGCACTCAAGAAAGTCTTATACTTTTTTTTTCCCCATATATATGGGTGTAGAGATAAGGTTTGTATTTGGCAGTACCCAGATTTAGCTAATATTCTGTAAAAAAGACTTAAGCTAATATATGCCGTTTATGTAACTTTAATATTTTTTGGATATAATATTTTATGAAAATGTATAAAATTATTTGATGTGTTTCATTTTAAAGTTAAAACAACTATTAAACACTAATATCATTTCAATATATGATTTGGTGGTTGGAATACATTGAAAGAGTTGAGAAAAAAAGAAAACAATGTTGGATTGACCAAATGGTTAGGTGCTGTTTGGTATGTTTGCAATTTATTGTATTTTAGTTTACAGAAAACAATAAACATGTTTAGTATACATATATCTTCAAATTTTATTTGGAAAACAAGTGAAAATGAGGGACAACGGGAGTTGGATACTAGCCATAGGAGGTAGTAGTTAAAGGTGGTTGCTACCAATGAGAGGCAATTGACAGTGGTCATAGGTGGTTATTGGTGACGAGAAGTGGTGGCAGAAAGAGATTGTCGATGGTCGAAGATGGTGACTGGTCAACCACTTAGGTGGCAGTTGAAGGTGACTTCTAAGAAAATATGGTGGCCAAAGGTAGTTACTACTACTGAAAGGTGATGGGTGGTGGGTGGTGATGGAAAGTGGTTGGCGGTTGAGAGAAGTGGTGGCTAGATGTGGTTGGCGGAGGAGGTCATTAATGATGGTAGCTGGTAGTAATGAGCTATGTGTGATAGTCAAAAAGAGAGAGACAAAGAAGAAGAAAAAAAAAAAAAAAAAAGGAAAAAAAAAGAGAAGAGGAGAGTAGTAGAGAGAGAGACAGAGAGAATCATCATCATCAACCACCCAACACATAAAAAAAAAAAAAAAAAAAAAAAAAAATTGTTTATAACTTTCAAAAAATTTATAAATACAGAAAAATTATAAATATAAATGTTACTAAACATGCCCTTATGCTGTGTTTGGTTGAGGGATTTGAGGAGAGATTTAGAAAGGGAAATGGAAAAGATAGGTGAAATATGAATAAAATATACCTATATTTCACTTAATTTCACACACATTTTCCATTTCCTTTTCCAAATCCCTCTCCAAATCTCCCAACCAAACACAGCGTTAAAGTTCTTAAAATCAAACTATGTTAAACACGTATCCCTGAATTATCATACTAACCCAAGGTAACAAACATATCTTTGGATTATCATCTTCCAAATTCCAAGTGAAAAATGAAGCCTGAAACTAAGCAATGGTTCTTGGATTATTCATGAAACTACAAACAATATAGGTAGAAAACCCAAGTTATTTGCCAAATTCCCAAATAATTTGAAGGAATCCCATAATGAGAAGATTTCCAATTTCACTTACACACACAGCTATTTGCAATTGTAGTGACACTAGCTCAAACAGTCCATCTCCTTTCCCTTTCTTTCATTTTCCTGTTCCCTTAAGTTCAGAAGTGGACCAGTCCTTGCACAACAAAATTCAAAATTGTACATAGGGAAAGCAAGAATGAACACAAATCAATGAATCAATTTTGTCTTCATAGCTGGCAGACAAATAGTATCACATGCTAAGTTCACACACTCATAGGTCAATATAATATTATCCACAAAATAATTACAAAGCAACAAAGTCATTCTCTTCAAAGACTTTAACATTCAAACTTGTGAGCAAATAGACTTGCATCAAATCAAGCTCCATTCCCATCTCTCTCTCTCTCTCTCTCTCTCTCTCTCTCATGTCCATGTTTACTCAAGCATGGCTAATCATGGCAACAATCTGTGCAATACAGATATGTTTAAGAGTAGAGTCACTCTCTGAAGCTGATAAAATCCTGGTTTTGCCAGGTCAGCCACAGGTGAGTTTCCAGCAATATGGAGGGTACATCACGGTTGATGAAAAGCAGGACAGAGCTCTTTTCTACTACTTTGCTGAAGCAGAAACTGATCCATCTTCAAAGCCTCTTGTTCTCTGGTTAAATGGAGGTTGGTTCTTGTTATACATTCCTTTACGTATTTGGTTGGGGGATTTAAGGAGAGATTTGAAAAGAGAAAGGAAAAAAATGTGTGAAAGTAAGTGAAATATAGGTATATTTTATTCACATTTCACCTACATTTTCCATTTCCCTTTCCAAATTCCTTCTCAAATCCCTCAACTAAACACAGTATTAATCATTCAAATCATAAAACCCAAGTAGAAAAAAGGTCATATAATTTCAGTTCTGAATTTTCTATACTGTGATTGATTTTACAGGGCCTGGTTGTTCATCTGTTGGAGCTGGAGCTTTCTGTGAGCATGGACCTTTTAAACCATCTGGACAGGTTTTGGTAAAAAATGATTGTAGTTGGAATAAAGGTAACTATATCTCTCTCTCTCTCTCTCTCTCTCTGAATTGTGATTTCAATTGTCAGTAAATAACTCAAAATATATGTTTCTACAGAAGCAAACATGCTATACTTGGAGTCACCAGCAGGAGTTGGTTTCTCTTATTCAGCTAATAAATCCTTCTATACATCAGTGAACGACGAAATCACAGGTTTTTCTTGAATACATCTTAAGTAACTGCCAAAAGGATCCATGCTTCCAAGAATTCTGTATCTGAATCCACAAGTCATAGCCTACATCTATAAATTATGGCAACTATTTAAATTTTATAATATTGTCATTTATGTTGAGAACTTTACCTTTTGATTTAATTATTTTTGTATGTAAAGTTTTGAAAATGCTACTGCTAAACCATTCTATGAATATTTCATCTAACTTGACTTTGTGTTTGTCTCTTCTTTAGCCCAAGACAATCTTGTTTTCCTGCAGAATTGGTTCAACAAATTCCCGGAATACAAGAAAAGAGACTTCTATATTACAGGGGAGAGTTATGCTGGTATGTGTAACTTCTATCAGCATCTCCAATGCTATGTTTGGCAATACTAAATTGTAGCATTTGTAATGCACATTGTAGCTAATGCTATGCGATGTGCAAGGGCACATTGTAGCATTTCCCAATACAAAATTCATGCATTGGATTTGGGAAAAGGACACTATCTCGGTTCAAATTTTGAACCAAGTGATCTTCATTACAAATTCAAAGGCACGGATTCTGTACTAAGGCCATGTTTGTTAGGATGTACTAGAATAGATGCTATTAAGAATTTTTTGGATGAATGTTTAAGAACACACTTGTAAGAGTAGAGGATTACAACTTATGTATATATATTTGATACTAATAAGATATTTGAGTGTTTACAATAAGTAACAAATTATATATCTATACCATTTGGTCTGGTTGCAAACTAGATTTGTAATTATAAAACCATGGACCGAACCGTAAAGTATGGTTCGGAATTTTTCGGTTTGTCGCCCTACCTAGGACTGTTTGTTCTAGGATTATTGATCTCTTTGGATTGTCTATTTTATCTCATGTTGATTGACTTGGGATTATGATAAAGGATTGACAAAATCCTATCAATTTTGTAATTAATTAATTAATCCAAACTTCTCCTCGGTCCTCCATTTTTGAATCCTATCCCCTAGAGATACTATGTCCAGATGGATTATTAGTTTAGACCTCAATTTTCTTGCCAAATATCGGATTATGCGTTTTGTCGGATTATTAATTCAATCCTAAGGCTATATCCGCCCAAACAAACATGGCATACCAACAATTGAAAGAATTTACCACTCATTTATCAATTTTCCATCAGATATGACAATTCTGTTTCTTGACAGGACACTATGTTCCACAACTTGCACAACTCATTACTCAATCCAAAATGAAGTTCAATCTCAAGGGAATTGCTGTGAGTTTAAGAATGGAATGAAAATTATCCAAACCCATAAAATGTCATAATTTCTGTTTGAATTAATTTCAACTAAACTAAAATAATTTGACTTTGTGGTGATTGCAGATAGGGAATCCACTTCTGGAGTTTAACACTGATTTCAATTCAAGGGCTGAATTCTATTGGTCTCATGGACTGATATCAGATGCTACCTATGAACTATTCACTAGTGTTTGCAACTATTCTCAGATTAGAAGGCAGTTCCAAGCTGGCACTTTGACCCCTATTTGTTCTGGAGTAAACAATAGAGTTTCAAGAGAGCTCAGTAGATTTATCAACCCATATGATGTCACTCTCGATGTCTGCTTATCAGCCATTGGTTCACAAGCAAAGGTTCTTGATCAACTGGTAGGTCAAGATCTCTAGCTCCTATACATTTTTCTTTATTTATCATTAAGATGTTTATCAGTTTCAGCTTCAGCTATTTCAATCTTCATTTACAGCAAGATACACGGAAGATCGATGTCTGCATAGAAGATGAAACAATTACTTACTTGAACCGGGCAGATGTACAGAAGGCTTTCCATGCGCGGCTTGTTGGAGTCACTACATGGGGTGTCTGCAGCGAGTAATAATCCTCATTCTTGTTGCAGAAAATGAAGAAGAGAGAGAGAGAGAGAGAGAGAAGAGAGAGAGAGAAAGAAAGAAAGAAAGAAAGAAAGAAAAACCCATTTCAGCATAGTAATCATATTCTAATTTCCCATCTTTATATAGAATCAATACAAACATTTTGAATATGTAACTCAAATTGTGTAGACTGCATCAGCCTAGTTAAGATATGGGTAGATTAGATTGCATAGGTTCTGCTAAGTAAAAAGTGAAAAGTGAAATATTTAAAGTCTTTGTGTTTTCATAATCTAAGTAGAAAGATTCAAATAGTTCTATTCTCATATTCCTATTTTTCTTGTATTTATTTATTTTTTAGTTCTATGCACTAAACCATTTCACTCTCTTGACAACAGTGTTCTCTATTATGAGATGCAAAATCTAGAGATACCAACAATTCGTGTACTGGGTTCACTTGTCAAGTTTGGCATTCGTGTCTTGGTTTACAGGTGAGTTCCTTCATAATGTATGCACAAACTTAAAAATCATTTTAAGATCTCATTCATAGAATCATTACTTACGAAAATTACGTAAAAAATTCTTGCAGTGGAGATCAAGATTCAGTTGTCCCACTACTCGGATCACGGACACTGGTGAATGGATTGGCAAAGAAGTTGGGATTGAACACAACTGTTCCATATAGAGTTTGGTTTCAAGGGAAACAAGTTGCCGGATGGACACAAGTATATGGTGATATACTATCTTTTGCCACCATTAGAGGAGCTTCGCATGAAGCTCCATTTTCACAACCAGAGAGATCGCTGGTTTTATTTAATGCATTTTTGGGTGGAAAACCACTACCAGAGAGTGTTCACAACTAAGCAATTCAGTCCAAGCAAGTTCTGAGATTGTATTGAATAAGAAGATATAAAAAGGAAGTATAATCCTTAATTGTGGTGTTTTAGTAATGCATCAATCTCTCCCAATCCAAGCAGATCAGTGACTAGATACTATTTTGATCAATGTTTTATATAGGCATATGCGAATACGCGTGTGCACAGGCATACACACAGTCCATAATCACCTTTCGTTACAAGTTCAGTGAGTGTCCCAAAATCACCAAATTGCATAACACAAATAAGGTTCAATTGGTGTTATTTAAAAGTAGATTCGAAGATGATACCAAAATCCTGTTGTCATATATTTTTACATCCAGCTATTTGCAAGAACATGAATCCTTTATTTAATCTTTTTTTTTTTTTAATATTTGAAGTTAGGATACCACCCTAAAGAATCCTATTGCTAATGCAACTTTGACAAAGTCTAGAGTAGTGTGCAACTATCGAAACATGAAACAATTTGAAATTGCTGTCACAAATGAATAAGCCTAAAAGTCTTGAGAAACATACCAGTGGTTGATGTCTTCCATTAGAATGTCTCTAGCTAGAGTTCTACGGATCTGGATTCTCTCCATCCATTACATGAATGGAATGGAAGATGTCCTTTTCAAAATCAATGGTTGTAAAATAGCTACATCAAAATATATTTATTTCAACTTCGAAAACACTTACAAAGGAGATTTTAAGATTCAAATTGACTTAATAATTCTCGACCATTGATTTTGATTTTAATGATGTGTCACAATCTTATACATTGAAATAGAGATTACCTTCTAATAATGTAACGGAGAGGATCTAAATCCAGCTTTCACCAATTCAACTCAAACCAATTAGTGTTAGGGAGGGCTTCGACTTTTGTACATATACCTTCTAATAATGCTCGTGACAGTCAGTCCACTATCAACAGTTAGTCTGCAGAGAATACAACTTACAAGTGTAGATTTCTTGGCCTAACAATCCCCCAAGAACCACCCAGACAAGACTCGGGTTCTAATACCTACTTCTTGGTCCCAACTTTCACCAGTTTATCCAAAACCAATTGCTATTAGGGTGAACTTTAGGTTTTATATCAACAATGTTAGGTGGCCCGAATTTTTTTAGCTCAAATGACTCGAATGTCTCAAAATGACGTTGTTTTGACACATTTGAGTCATTTGGGCCACCGATTATTTTTCGTTTTATATTTGAACTTGTGTTTGTAGCGGTCAATCCAACATAGTAGGTTGGTGGACCCCAAAATCAAACAACCAATGTTTACATCCATGTAGTTTTTGCCTCTCAAGCCTCATTCCCAAAGATTCATTATGCTCAAATTCTTGTAAATGTCACATGAAATCATATAAAAATGAAATTCCAATTTAAACATGGAACCATAGCTCCTTTCATTAAAAGGGTTGTCTAACTAGGGTTTTCTTTCTCTCTCTTAACATGAATTAGATCAAATTCTTTCTTACAAAATTCTGGTTATTCAACAGTTCTAACTAATTTCTTCCAAATTAAATAAAAACCGCATATGTTTAGGGATGAATCTCACGCCTCGATTTGAATTTTCTACGAAGTTCCTTAGATTTCTTCCACTTTCCTTTCCAGTTTCCACACCTTCCATCCTGTTCATCCAAACAGGTGACTGCTCTGTAAGTCTTAAAATGTGGAATTTCTCCAAAATCCCCTATAAATTATTCTACGTTAGCTCTCTTTCTGTAAGTCTTAAAATGTGGAATTTCTCCAAAATCCCCTATAAATTATTCTACGTTAGCTCTCTTTAATCCGAGGCGCTGTTTGAAAACTTGGAATTGGTTTGCTAAAAGGAATATGTAACTGAAAAGAAAAAGGGGATTTGATGATAGACCTTACAGTCTAATTTTTCTTTCAAAATAATAAGAATTATATAGTTACTTTCAAAACTCTTAGGTCATGTTTGTTTGGGTAGACATGAGCTTGGGATTGGACTAATAGTCCAATAAAATTATTAATCCGATGTTTGGTTAAACAATTGAAGTAGGAATTAATTATTTTAAACTTGACTATTAGTTAAGATAGGATACATAATCCAACAAATTTATAGTCCTAGGACTATTAGTCATGAAAATGCTAATCCAATCCACCCAAACAAATATGTAACTGAAAAGAAAAAGGGGATTTGATGATAGACGCTTCCAGTCTAATCTTTTTTTCAAATCAATAAGAATTACTTAATATTTTAAAATTTGTTTCTTTTACTATATTATTCTCATATTTATCAGCTTTCCTCACAATGTATTTCAGAATAAAATTTTACTTTGAATCATATTTTTACTCTGAATCAGAGTAAAGTTTACTATGATTTAAAATAAAATTTTATATCGTTAAACAAATCAACATGTTTTTAACCATAGTAACATTTTATTTTGAATCATAGTAAACTTTATTCTGATTCAGACTGAATAAGAATAAAGTTTACTATAATTCAAAATAAAATTTTATGTCGTTAACCAAATTAACATGTTTTTAACTAGACTAATTTTACTCTGAATCAGAATAAAGTTTATTATGATTCAAAATAAAATTTATATTATTAAGCAAATCAACATGTTTTTAACCAGAGTAAACTTTCACTTTAAATCATAGTAAACTTTATTCTGATTCAAAGTAAAATTTTACTCTGAAAGTACAATTTTACTATGATTTAAGGAAAGTATCCACATTGAGGCCTCGTTTGGCAAGTTAACATTTTAGCCAAAAAGTCAAAAAGTTACAGAAAAAACCAAAAGCCTATAGCCTATACCAAAAAGTCAAAAATTTCATTTTCTCTCTACTTTTTGCATATTTTTTTCGTAAAAAGCCAAAAAATTACCCCAAACATACTATTTTTTTTATCTCATATTTTACCCAAAAAGTTACTAAAATAGCATGTCCCAAACGAGGCCTGAATCACACTAAGTGTCATGTATTAATAACCTTGTGTGTTTGATTGCTGAGAAAAACACAGAAATATAACAAGAAAACCAAATATAGTCTTCTTCTCACTGTTGCTTTGATGTTTAAATGATCAATTTCTCAACTTTTCCCTCATTCTCTTGGGAAGCAAACAGAAAGTAACATCAAAGTCAACAATCAACAAACACAGACAACACTTTGAAACATGTATATATATATATATATATATTCACAAGCAACCGATACACATGTAGATAGAGAAATATATATATACACATATATATGTAGTATAGAATTAGATCTCCAAATCTCCTTCTCAAAACCTTATAAACATCATGAAATAAGATTTAAGATTGGAATTTCAACAGTCATAAAAATATAAGACCTTGATAAAATGCGCCTTCCGAATTTTCTCATCCGAAGAGAGAGATCGACGATGGCAAGATCTGCAAACTGAGATCGCTAACACACATACATACACACATATGTATCTATAGATCCAAATTTCTGTTGTGCGCTTCACGATCCGATCGAAAACCTCCGATTAGTCATCGAAAATGAAAGATGAGGAGGCACAACAACAGATTTGGCTTCAGTAATGGTGAAAGAGGAGATTGCAAATCTCGACAATGGCAGATAAGAGAATTTCAGGCGAAGATGGTAAGGGAGATGAGGGACATGGAGAGGCTATGGAGGGCCGAGGGGAAAGGGACGGTGGCTGCAGCGAATGAGAAGAGAGAGACGGAGGTGAAGGAAGAGAGAGAAAGTGATATAGAAGGAGATGGTGGGAAGATTTAGTTGAGGGTATAATAATCTGATAAAATATTTAAACAATAAATTTTGTCCTTTATACAAGACTTTATAATTATGAAAGTATAATTTTTTTTTTTGTCCTTTTAACAATAAAAGAAAGGTAAGAGGGGTTTATAGCCAAATTTTCCAAAGAAATTGTTGTCTTTTTATATTTTCCTACTATGAAATTGTGGAGAAATGAGCTAAAACTAAAAAATTAATCACATTTTTATGTGGTAAGGCTAGAAAATAGTGGAAAAAAAATGGTTAGATTTTACTTATGTTCACACCTTAATACGAGGGAAGTTGAAAGACTTGTATGACTTATCACGAGTCATATTTCGATGATCTCTATTACTTATTTTGCAAGTCTTCCAATATATATATAAGGAAAAGCCTATATGCCCTTTATATGCACCCTATCATAAATTAGCTCAATTTTATCATAAAATTTTATAACATCAATCACAAAATGTATAATCTTACCACAAATTGGCATAACAAAAAATGTTATAACCAAATCACAAACTTTTAGGTAATGCTATGATACACCCTGCAAAAGATGTATACCATATGCACCCTTATTACGCAATTTCGTAATATATGTTACGCATTTTTGTAGTAATGTTATGTATTTCTTTGAATAGAATTATGATAATTTGTGGTTCATAAATGAAATTATACATCTTGTGGTAAAATTCTGTGTTTTTTTTTTGGTAATGCTACACATTTTTTGGTTAGAAAATGTTTGAATAAAAAAAATGTACAACATTACCACAAAATATGTAACTTTTATGAGTCACAAATTATTGTAATTCTATCAAAAAATTATGTAACATTTACCACAAAAATACATAACATAAACCACAAAAATGTATAACAGGTGCATATGATACACATTCTTTAGGCTATGTTTAGTTGAGAGATTTGGGGAGGAATTTGGAAAGAAAAGGAAAAATATAGGTAAAATGTGAATAAAATATAATTATATTTCACTTAGTTTCACACATATTTCACACATATTTTCCCTTTTCCCTTCCAAATCTCTTTCCAAATCTCCTAACTAAACACAACTTTAAGGGGATGTGTACCATAAAATTTCCCTTATATCAATAAAATTTTCAAAAGAGCTCAATATAATTAAGCCTCCGTTTGGGAAGTGGGTTGGCTTTTTGACTTTTTGGCTTTTTTGACTATATGAGTCTGGGCTCAAAAGCTTAGTTTGGGAAGGACTTTTGGCTTTTTGGCTTCTTTGATTTTTTTGTGAGAGAAGAGTGTAATGATTATGGAGTTGGATGAGATGTTTTGTCTGTTGTGGCTCATGAGCCTATTCTGTCTTTTATGACTCATTGAGCCAAAAAAGCCCAATGAGCCCTTGCCATTATGAGATTTTATTATATTTTCTCTAATTTAAAG